GTAACAGGTCGGGCTCCTTGAGGAGAACCCGGTCGGTGACCGACCGGGAGTTGCCCGAGCGATGCTATGAACCCCGAGCGGTGGTCCTTAGGCGAAAGAGCTGGCTAAAGACACGTGGCGGCTTTCTACGACGACAGGCAGGGCACCCGGGAGGAGGACGCGTGGAGGCTACGTGGAGAGCATGCCGAACGGCCGGAAGTTTGTCTCCGGCGTCGCGGCTATAAATACCCACAGTAGCTACAGTGAGGGGACTTTTGGACGATCGATAGGGTGTAACTAGAGACTCCCGACCGCAGTCAGTCGGTACTCAGTGCAACCAAGTAGATTGTACTTAGGAACTCTACCTCGATTAATAAATACTTACTCGCTTTACTTGGTCTTGTGTTACCTATATTGCTTACGTGTTATTAGCAGTATCACATATTATTACCAATTATGCTATTATGTTATTACATAATTAATATTTTTTGTACATGGTATTACCAAATAGAATATTTAATTAATTGACTACAAAAATTTGACTATTTGAGCCGAAACATGATATAGGAAGATTTTGTTTATATATATATATATATATATATATATATATATATATATATATATATATATATATATATATATATATATATATATATAAAAGGTATTATTTTTATAATTAAGTTATATTAATATTATTAAATAGAAATTATTTAAAATATATAGATCCACATTAAGAAAAATCTTATTAATTTCGGATATTAAAACTATATATTTATATTAAAGGTGAAATTATAAATAATTAAGTTTCAATAAATTTAGTTATTTCCTAAATTATATATGCATGGTTAGTAATGAATATCTTCTATAATAGATTATGCTTATATAAGGTTTACCCGTATTAAGTATTAACCATCACCATATTAGATTAATATATAATTATTTTAATATAATATATAATTAAATCTAAACATATGGTTAATATTTATTCAATATTATTATGAAAGTATTACAATTATAAATTTACAATTATAGCTTTGTATATGAAAAACATAGAAACTTAAATAGTTTAAATCAAAATTATTAAAAAACAATGTGTCTACAGTACACAATAAATTATACTTGATTTAATAATTAATTATTAATATAATTGTCTAATATAAATTTACAATTATTAATAATTATTTGTGGTAATTATTAGGCATTAAAAAAAAAGAATAAGAAAAACAGAAGAGGAAATAATATATAGATTTCATACGATATCTTACATAAAGCAAATTGATATAAAATTTAATCTAGAATTATAGTAGGAATAGAAAAAGTAGGAAAGAATATATTATATTAGGAATTGTATTACCATATTTTAATGTACAATTGTTGTACACATAAGAATTTTATTTTTATTAATAGTATAGAAAAAATTAATTTCATTAGATAGATTTTAAATAAATGTTACCATAATTATATGTAGTAATTTGTCATATATAAATTTCTTACTTTAATAATATTAATCATATGATAATTTATTCTATTAATAAAAAAAAAATTCCCCCTGCATAACACAAAGAGAATAATAAAAAAAAACACCATCACATACTCAATACTTAAAACACAACCCTAGGAAATCAAGTTTAGGTCAATAAAAGCAAAAAACACTAACAGGGCGTTTGGTTGGAGGGATTTTAAATTCCCTTCCCACTTAATTCCCACCTAATTCCAAAGGCCATTAAATTCCGTAGTTTGGTTGGAGGGAATTGCAATTCCCCCATTTTCATGGAATTAAAATCCCATGTCCCCCCCGGTATTTTAATTCCTGGGAAAAAAAGATAGTGATGAGTCAAAATTACCTCTTCCTTTTTTAACCTAAAATTAATGTCTAACAACAATAATGGACATTTTTGACTTTATACTACTTATTCCCTTTAAATTTCCATGTATACCAAACATTGGAATTGAAATTTCCAGTAATTCTATTTCTGTCAACCAAACACTGGAATTTAAATTACCACTTTATTCCCAGTAATTCAACTCCCATGGAATTACAATTCCTTTCCCACATAATTCCCCCCCTCCAACCAAACGCCCTGTAAATGGTACTTTCAAGTTTGCACGTATAAAGATATTTTAATCTATTTGCCTTCAATTCTTTCTCAGAATAAGAAGAAGTATCTTCATTACATGAAGAGGAACCACTTTCCAACACCTTCTTCTGAATCTTGCCATCGGTTTTTTTTTTTTTTTTTTTTTTTTTTTGTTCTCTATAACTTGTTTTAAAGCCGAATCTTTTTTTAGTTTTTTTTTTTTTTTTTTTTTTTTTTTTTTTTTTTTTTTTTTTTTTTTTTTTTGCGCTAGCCTTCTCGACCGCAGCTTTTGCTTCTCACTTAACTACAAAGTCACCAAAAAATAGTGAACTCAGGTAGTATCCCCTACTAACTCCGTAACCATTGCATCGCACAAATAACAAAAACCATGCCTGGAAATAAAATATATAAACAATATTACAAAATTATTGTTTTAAAAAAAGCAATAATACAAAAAAAAAATACATATAATACAAAATTTTTAAAAAACAATAATTAAAAACAAAACAATAGTTAAAAACTATGGAAGAAGACAAAAATAATACGAAAAAAATACTTTTCTAAAAAAATTGAACCTTTTTGCATCGGCTTAGTCAGAGCAACTACAATTGGTCTGGAGTGGCATCGACCCGGACAAATCCATAATAAAGAATGTAAATGAAAAAATAATGTTAGGAACCTTGTATTAGGATTTTGATAATACCAATGTATTGTAGAAAAGTAGACCCCTACCTTTTAGCTTCTTCGATCGCTGCTTTCGTCCTAGACGAGAGTTGCCATAACTCCCATGTAATTCGTGTTAAGCTAGACAAACACACGAAAATGAGTTATGACTAGTGATAGGGTCTCCAAAACGAATGAAGACACAAGGCATGATGAACAACAACGAAAGTCAAGCAGGAGTTGTCAACTATCACGAAATGACAGTTTTGTTAAAGACGATTCTTACCAAGCATTACTTCTCCTCAACAACGAGAAGAATGTTTTGTCTATCTGATTTGACAACATCCTAGGACAATAAGGACCTCATCTTATGGGACACATTAATCAAGGAGCATTAAATGAAGGTGTACCATCTCCTGAAGCTAGAGGACAAAGCCCTAATGCTTTCCATACCTTCAACGGCTACATGGTACAACCTCATTAATGGAGCATTTAATGCATGAGGCTCCCCGGTCCTTGTCCACTGGTTAAAAGGTTTGAAAATCTCATCTCCCTCCAACGGATGAATTTTCATCACCTATATAAACCCACCTTCATCAACTAAGAAGGTGCTGGTTTTTTTCACTCGACTCATTCACTTGCAAAAGCTCTTGAACGCTCTCAAATCTCTAACAGCTTTTGTGAACCAGTATTAAGGTGTTAAGTTACTTGAAGAAAGTCAGTTATCATTTTCTTTATTTCTTACACCTTAAAGAAGTCTTGCCATTTGTTCGAAGCAATCATCTCTCACTGTCAAGACTTCATCACATTGGAGAAATCAAGAAACCATTTTCTACCAACCTCAACTCTGAAGAAGAAGTTGATTGAGGCGGAGTAAACTCGAGAAGTTGAAAAACCTACGAAGGCTATCCAGCTTAGTGATCAAGGAGGTCTTTGTGTAATTGTACTAAAGAGTGATAGTGCAATCCTTCCATCAGTTGTGGAAGAAGAGTGGAGTAGGCAACGTTAGCCGAACCACTATAAAATCTCTTGTCCCTTCTATCTCTTTACTTACACTTTTTATCTCTGCATTCATATCATCCTTATTATCACTCATACCAAAAGTTTTCCTCATATCGTAAACTCGTGCAAAGCAATTAAACGAATCTAAATTTTCCGCTGCGCCAAAACACCGAAAGGTGACTTTGAGGGCATTTCACGAAGAGAGTCTATTCACCCCCCCCCCCCCTCCCCAGACTCTCGCTACATTCTATCGGGACCAACAAGTGGTATCAGAGCCAATACCTTGATCGGTAAAGGCTTTGCATTTACTGCCTGGTAGATCCCTTATCAAAAATCTCTTGAAAATCTTGCATATTTTCTTTGCACGCTCTTTATCTTTAAAAATGGAAAAGGATCATGCACATCGCTCTAAGCAACTTTCCTTTAGTCTTGCTAAATTTGATGACTGGAAGTTAAGAATGCAGGCTCTCCTATGCTCTATTCATGATGAAATGTGGGACGTCATAACAACCGGACCAATCATGGTCATGATGGCGAATGCAAAAGCAGCCGCATAGGGAGCAGGAGCTGCACAAATGATACCAAAGCCGAAAGAGCAGTATACCACGGACGAAAGAACGAGGGCAAATCTGGACAATGTGGCAAGAAATATTCTCTACAACTCTCTGGATGATTCCTTGTTTCCCAGAGTCCGAAAGTGCCAAAATGCCATGGAAGTGTGGAATGTCCTAATGAATTTGGGAGAAGGAGACGAGCAAGAAAAGGACAATAAACTGACAATGGCTATGAAAAAATTTGAAGATTTCAAAATGCTGCCAAATGAAACAATCATGGAGATGGAACTCAGATTCACCAGATTTATGGGCGATTTGTCAGATCTCGGGAAAGAGCTAACTGAAAAGGAGATGAATCTGAAGATTCTTCGTGGGTTACCAAAATCATGGGAAATGAAGGTTATTGCAATGAGGGATAATTAAGACATGAAAACAACAAGCACGACCAAGATTTTTAGTGATCTCAAAGCATATGAGTTCGAACATGAACCGAAAGATCCCGAAGAATCAGAAACAAGAAACATTGCTCTTATGGCAAATCAATCAGCATCAACATCCAACAGGTCGAAATCTAACTCTTGTGATTTTTTTATCTGATGAACAATATGCACTATTTGTCTGGAAAATGGAAAGGTTCATGAGAAAGAACAACTTTCAAGACTCACAACGATCGAGCCACCGAAAGAAGCACAAGAATTTCCCTCAAACCTCAAAAACCGAAACCATGGACTCGCAGCTATTGTGCTATAATTGCCGAAAGCCAGGACACTTCAAGGGGAACTGTCCTCATCCTATAGTGAGCAAGCATCAAGATAACAACACTACCACAAGTCCCTCAAAAGAGACTGGAGAAAGATATAAAAGGAGCGACAAGCCCGAATCATCAAACTCCAGAAATGAAGGAAGAAGGAAGGCGATGGTAGTAAACGAAACTTCTGACACAATTGCAACCGAAAGTAGCTCCTCAAGTTCGAGCTCAGAAGACGAAAACACTGATGAGGAGAAAGGATTGCTGTGCCTATTCAGCCAGGTGTCAGACGAACTGTGCCTCATGGCAGATGAAGATGAGGTAAACTCTCACTCATTGTCTTGTTATTCAGCTGAGTCAAGTTCTATGGGAAGTCAAACCTCCAATCAATCTGTTACCGAAATGATGAGGAGGTTCAAGGTGATAAATAGCACTTACTCCAAACTTAAAGAGGAGAACTCTCGGCTCATGATTAGCTATAATGAACTAAAGCAAGTTTGAATTAAGAACGATATGCTAGTCATTGCTAAGGAGCAACTTGAGAAAAATGTTCTCGCTCTAAAGGAGCAATGCACAGCAAAAGAGAAGAGAGAGCAAGAACTACTTGAAGTCTTGGATAAATTCAATAACTCATCCAAATTAATGGATAGAATGATGAATGAATCTAGACTGCCCGGGGAAAGAACTGGAATTGGTTTTGACCCCAGCTCCTCTTCACAAGTCGAATTGAACAAATCCACGAATGCATATTCACACGAAAGCTTCGAGGCTGCATTTGTTCAAGGATCCACCCAGGTGTCTGAGCCTATGATGGTATTTAACAATGTCGAAACACCACAAACAACAAGCCAACCGAAAGGAAAGGCTGTACAACGTGTTGTGGAATCTGGAAAAGAGAAATTCGTTAATGGCAATCCTAGACAAATTTATGTCAGAAGGAATGGACCAAATGGCAATAGACAAGATCTACATCATAAAAGAGGTCAGCCTAACAGGAATACTCAATCCAAGAAAAAGACGAAAGTTAACCAGAGGTAATATCGTCCGAAACTCACACGAAAGAATCCTACTCAAGGAATTTCAAATAACGGACAAATCAGACAACCCGAAAGATCCTTCAAAAGATCTGGGTATGGCAATGGATGGACTGGGCCATCAGAAGAAGATTGGTTTGATTACCCAGAACCTCTCTCTAGAGCAGAGTTTGAAAAGACTCATCTGCGTAAACAAACTAATCATCTAAAGCATTATGAAAATCCTCCTCAGGAATATCTTCGTAAAAGATATAATGCTAAAGTCTTTGCCAGCATTCATTATGATTATCGTACATCTAATGGATATAAAGGACCAAGGATGAGTCGTGGACACTCTAGGTTGATGTGGGTTCCAAAGTTGACTGCTAACCCTCAAGGACCCGAAACTAAATGGGTACCTAAAAACACATAATCTTTGATGCAGGAAAAACAAGTCATATGGTATGTTGATAGTGGATGCCTAAGACATATGACTGGTGACAAAACAATGTTGAGCAATTTTATGGAAGTAGATGGACCCAAAGTTATCTTTGGAGGAGAAACAGTGGCAAAACTCGTGGAAAAGGGGACATCATCAAAAGGGGAATAACAATACAAGATGTCTCTTATGTTGAAGGACTGAAGTTCAATCTCCTAAGCACAAGTCAATTCTGTGACAAAGGATACAATGTAGAATTCTCCAAAGACGAATGTAAAATCGTGAACACGAAGGATGGCAAGACAGCCTTAACGGGTCAACGAAAGAAGAACATGTATGTAATTTCCTTAAATTCTTCTAACGCTAATGTCTGTCTTGTGGCCAAAAGTAATGCAGATCTCAATCAAGAATGGCATAACAAACTAAGTCATCTGAACTTGAAGACTATAAACAAGCTTGCCAAAAGAAATCTCGTGAGAGGACTACCCGAAGTGTCGTACACGAAAGATAAAATTTGTGAAGCATGTCAAAAAGGAAAGCAATTCAAGTCATCTTTTAAGTCAAAAGATGTGGATGCAAACTCTCGATCTCTAAGCCTTCTACATATGGATCTCTTTGGACCTGTAGATCCAGCAAGTCTAAGTGGGCGAAAGTATACTCTTGTTATAGTAGACGACTACACAAGATATACATGGGTGCTTTTCTTGAAAAAGAAGAATGAAACAAAAACAGTTCTTCCAAATCTTTTAAGACAACTTCAAACAGAAAAGGAGGTCAAAATAATTCGAATAAGATCTGATCAGGGAACTGAATTTGTCAACAAAGTTATAAAGGGATTCTATGCGCAAAATGGAATCTTCCATCAACTCTCGGTAGCACGAACTCCTCAGCAAAATGGAGTGGCCGAAAGGAGAAACAGAACCTTGAAAGAAGTTGCACGAACGATGATCTCACACTCAGGTCTACCAAAGAGATTTTGGGCCGAAGCCATAAACACGACATGCTATACACAAAATAGATCCTTGATCAACAAGACACCATATGAGCTATGGAAAGGTAAAACTCCTAGTATTGGTTATTTTCATGTCTTTGGTTGCAGGTGCTTCATACATAACAACGGAAAGAATCATCTAAGGCCTTTTGACGAAAGAGCTGATGAAGGACTATTCATGGGATATTCTTCAGTAAGTAAAGCATTCAGAGTTCTAAACAAACGAACAATGGTAATTGAGGAATCCATTCATGTCAAATTTGATGAACAATCTGAGAGAAATCCATCTGGATGTAAAACATCAATCAATTCTAGTCAAAGCCCTCAGCAACCTGTTGATGAAGACATCTCAGACGAAGAAGATATACTTTTGACTTACAAGAAATATCAGCTAAGATTTCAGAACCCGAACCTGTGTCTCAAGAAAAGGCTGGAACTCAACAGAATGATCCTACAAGCACTGCAACATCTGAACCAATGATATACATTGATCTACCATATATTCCTGAAATGGATGTTCAAAATCAACAAGATGCATTTGAACCAGACCTTCGGTGGTTAAGAGATCATCCATCAAATCAGGTTATTGGTAAGGTCCAAGAAGGTGTGAGAACAAGAGCCTCATTGCACGAAAGTATGATGGCATGCTTCTTGTCACAAATGGAACCGAAATCCATAGAAGAAGCCCTAAGTGACCCTGACTGGGTAATAGCCATGCAAGAAGAACTCCATCAGTTTGAACGAAATGAGGTATGGGAACTTGTACCGAGACTATCTCATCAGAACGTCATTGGAACAAAATGGGTGTTCAGAAACAAAATGAGTGAAGATGGGCTCATTGTTAGGAACAAAGCTCGTCTTATTGCTAAGGGGTATTGCCAAGAAGAAGGAATTGATTTTGATGAAACCTTCGCCCCTGTAGCTAGATTGGAGGCTATACGTATATTCCTGGCATTTGCAGCCTATAAGAATTTCAAAGTCTATCAAATGGATGTCAAGAGTGCCTTCTTAAATGGACTTCTTGAAGAAGAAGTGTATGTTGAACAACCACCTGGTTTTGCAATCAATAATGAGCTTGAAAAGGTCTATCATCTCAAAAAGGCTCTTTATGGTTTAAAGCAAGCTCCACGAGCTTGGTATGCCACTCTTTCATACTTTCTTATCAACTGTGGCTTCACGAAAGGAGTGGTTGACAAAACACTCTTTTGTATAAAAGATAATGATCATATTCTATTAGTCCAAATCTACGTTGATGACATTATCTTCGGAAGCACGAATCCAATTTTGTGTGAAAATTTCTCCAATCTTATGAAAGGTAAATTTGAGATGAGCATGATGGGAGAACTAAACTATTTTCTGGGATTACAAGTCAAACAATGCCCAGATGGAATATTCATCAATCAAGCCAAATATACCAAAGACCTAATCCAAAAATTTGGCATTGATGGAAAAAGTTCGGTCAAAATTCCTATGAGCACATCCTTGAGAATGGATGTTGATAAAGAAGGAAAAGATGTTGATCAGAAAAACTTTCGAGGCATAATTGGTTCTCTTTTATACCTAACGGCAAGCAGACTTGACATTTCGTTTGCTGTTGGGGTATGTGCTCGATTTCAAGCTAAGCCGAAAGAAAGTCATCTAAGTGCAACTAAAAAGATATTAAGATATCTTAAGGGAACGCAAAGTGTCAGACTCTGGTATCCGAAAGAAGGATCATTTGATCTAATTGGGTACTCAGATGCAGACTTCGCAGGATGTCAAATTGATCGAAAAAGTACCTTAGGAACCTGCCAGTTCCTAGGAGGAAGAATTGTATCATGGTTTAGCAAGAAGCAACACTCTATTGCTACAAGTACGGCTGGAGCCGAATACATAGCAGCCGGAAGCTGTTGTGCTCAAATTTTATGGATGAGACATCAATTGAAGGATTATGGTATAAATGCACGAGAAATGAGCATTAAATGCGACAACACGAGTGCAATCGCCATTACACATAATCCTGTCTTACACTCTTGGACTAAGCATATTGACATCAAATATCATTTCATTCGTGATCATGTCGAGAAGAAAGACATATCTCTTGAGTACGTTAATACGGATGATCAACTTGCAGATATACTCACAAAACCATTAAGTGAAGCAAGATTCTCCTCTCTAAGGAATGAAATCAAAATGATTGAAATGACATAAAGCCAAGAGAATCAAATCTGCAAAGATTCTTGCTATCGATATTCAAAAGATTTGATCCATCCTCACACGCAAGGATCTTTATAAATGAGGTACACGACGTGGTTAAGTTTTCATATCTAACAAAAACTCTAGTGTTTGTCTTTGAATGTGCAGATATGAGTACAGGAAGCGAAAGAACAATCACTGAGGCATTAGAAGGGAAAAGCGAAATTCTCAATGATCCACTTGTAACCGAGCAAGAGTTTAATCAATTTCTTGAACATTCTCAACACATACAGAGTCTTCTCCGTGACACAACTACAAATGAGTCAAGAGAGTCATTTCACTCTATTGGCAACCCTATAGGGTATGTCAAGGAAGATAGTGTACTGGAACGAAATGGCAGTCTTAACTCCTCATCCTCAAGCACTTCTACTAAGATGGCATCTCCTCTCAAATCCACCGCAAGCAGCAAGAAAAAGAAGGCCTAAATAACTTTGTTAGGCCACGGTGATAAGTTGTGATGTTATCATGATTATGATCTTTTAATATATGACTTTATCTTTCAATATCTTTTCGATATGGTGTCAGTATCTAAAAGATTTTATTAAGTTTCACACGATAACGTCTGCCTATAAATTGGTTTCCCTTTTTCATGAACCTTACTCATTCTCAACCCTTAGAAAAAGGAAAAAACTTGCAGGAATGGACAAAGGGAAAGGAAAGATCGATGAAGCTGAGAGAAGAGCTACTCGTCTAGCTCATCATCTGCGAGAAGCCAGCAAGCTACCAAATGCCACCATCATTAAGCTGGAAGAAGATGGGGAAAGGATCAACGTAACCTACTCCATGTCTAACTCCGCAACCCGAAAGGAGAAGGAAACTCTTGACAATCTGGTCAATGAATCCAGGGCTAAGAAAGCATACTGCCTAGAACAAGCCAAACGGCTTGCTAACGAGAGAATAATGATGATGAAAAGCTCTAACAAGCATTCAACATCTACACCTACTTCTCACTGACATCCTTTTCCTGAAGTTCCCCTACATAGTGATAAATCTTATGAAGATTTTACTATGGTTCACTCTCGGTCCTCAACTCTTTCACCCGAACCCACTCTCTCACTTGAAGAGCTGGATGAATATGCAAAGAAGGCAAATCTGTCTGATGTGACTGAAGAGATGACTCGTCTGGAACTTCACGTGCTCTATCGTTTTCTCTAATTTGTCGTGTGCTGTACTCTCGTGACTTGGAACTTCCTTTCTCTCTTCTTTATGATCTAATAAAAGTGTTATCTTTCGTACTCAGAATGAATGCAATTCTTGACTATGTTTAACTTTGTCAGCTTCTTGTCTAAAGTTACAGGAAAACTCTTCACTCAAACATAATCCGGTCAAAAAGGGGCCATAAATCATTATGAGTTATCTGACATTTAAGCTTATTGGAGTTGGAGCATGCTTAATAAAGAGTCGAATATTAACAGTCAAAGTCTTGCCTGGAATTGATAACTCCTTGAAGATTTTTATGAGCATTAATTGCTACGTTGAAAAATATGTGTAACAGACACATAAACATTATGGATCTCTTGCTATAAAAGGAGGTGAACTCTTCACTTCATCTTTATCTTTCTCTTCCTCACCATGGCTCCAAAGAAACCTTTCACTAGAGGTGACTCTCACAAACTAAGAGAGGTTGCTAGACGTATCCGGGAGGAACAAGGTGACCTTTATCCTGGTAACAGTCTACAAGCACCAGTAGACATCCTCTCTGATTCCGACTCATCTCTTCAATATGATGAGATGGCTGCCTATATTGTTGAAAGTGAAGAAAGGCTTTCAAAAGACCCTACTCAAGCCACCCCTGAGGATCCCAGCAAATTTTATGATCGAGATTATATGGCCTTTCTGAAACAAGAGGATGAAAAAGAGGTATATGCTAAGGGGGAAGAACCTGAATCCTCATCCGGTTCAAACTACCCACGAATCGGGAAGTGGTACAAGCAGATGTGGGGAAATCTGAAAAAGGCGAAAGCTGAGTCGCCTGAAGTCAAGAAAAACGAGAGAAAGAAAAATTGATCCCTGGGATTCTGTATCTTATCTTATGTATTTTCTTCTCTCGGTATTATGTATAATAAAACTTCGTTGGCTCTGCTTTTCTTTAAAGATATTGAGCGAGACTTTACTTGTCTCATTTGTCATATGTTTAAAATCTCGGATCAAGGACAATCTTCTTGGAAATGACTATATTCCCTAAGGCGTGCCTTGGTAAAGTCATTCGGACACATCTTTTGAGATGCCCAACCCTCTATTTAATGGACTTTCTCCCTTTACAATGAACTCATTCTTTACATTCCTCAAGCTCATGGATAAAGGGAAGGAAATGGCCCTCACATCCGAGAGCTTATCTGTGTCTGAAAAAATGTCTCACCATGATTTCGGAAACTCAGCTGAGAAAGGTTCACCTTCTGGGAAGGAACCAGACATCTCAGAGTTCTACTCTCTTGTTCAACTCACACCACTTCTGAAACACGAAGAAAGATATCGTGCATTGTACGCTGGTGCTAAAGCCAAAGTCTTGGCTGAACTGGATGACATGGAGAGACGAGGTCTCTCTAGAGAAACACTGGGAGCAGATCACGAGACACTCATCGCTGAAGTATTTGCTCATGAGATCCGAAAGAAGGAGTATTTTGAGTATGCACGAAAGAAGAAGGGTAGCATTGAGTAAAGGCAAGCTTGCCTACTAATGCATGAGAGATTATAATCGTTTCTGTTACGTTTGTTCTGTGTAATAAATCTCTTGGGAAAAGCACCTTTGTTGTTGTAAAAAGGATTTGTTTGACTTTATTTGTCTTACAAATCTTACGTTGTGATAATCTTATCTATCTTCAGGTTTGGAATCGTGCCTAAGACGCTTCATCCTTAACTTTTAATCCAAACAGTTTAGATAAATCATAATGGGGATCATGTGGCCGAGAAAAATGGTCCACTATCCCACTCTGTCTGGCACAGGACGTGACGTGCATTTAATGCACCCATAGGCACTCGAGTGCTTTTCTCTCACCTCGTTAAATGGTGGAATGATAAATTTTGATCTGCACACGATCTTATCACATCCCCACTATGATCAGTTACCATATTGGAGAAGAGGAACCGGTAGCACTTTTGAAATTCAAATAATCCATCTCTAAATGGGTTACCCATAACTGGTTACCCGGTGTCTGATAAAACCCTACTTAAACCTTCTTCTCATTATACCTTACCTTTTCACACAATCTCAACACTCATCCATCACTCTCCTCTGTCTCTCAATCCTTAACAATGGCGGAACACTCACAAACTTCACCTACTGATAAAGAACCAGAAACACCATCCATCCTGGAAATCCCAAGCTTTCCAACTGAAGACTTGAGGTTCATTGAATCCAGAGTACCTTTTATTGTCGGAGGTAGCATGTGGGATGCACATGGATTTCTTGAATACATTTTGGACAGAAGATTTGGCGAAAACATCATTCGACTCCTCACAGAAACTAGGCTATATAGATTCATCACTCATCTTTACACCATTTGGCACCCTATTGACGTAACTCAGATCTACATGAACGCAACCGTCTCTTCTGATTCTCTGACCATCACCTCCAGGGTTCACAATCATGAAGTGATCTTCACTTCGGAAGACATTAGAACCACATACGGTTTTCCACAGAGAGATACTCTTACGTGTCCAACCTTGCCCATTATTACCACGATCCATAAGACTTTTATGTCTCTATCAAGAACAACCAAGGTCCGGCGAAGTCAGAAATCTCATGGCCGCTAAAGAAGAAGTGGTTTCGACTAAATTATGAGTTCACAGTGGATATCTTCAACAAAGTGGTTGATCACAAAACCTCAGGAACTGATGACGTAACAAAGGAGAAATTAAAGATGCTGCATGCCTTTCTGAATGAAATCAAGGTGGATTGGTCAAAGATCATCTTCAATAATCTCGTCCATACCATCACCTACAACAGAAAGAGTCTGGGTGACGTCACCAAGAAACTAGGGTATGGATTTATGGTCAGCCATCTTCTCGTCACCAAAGGAATTTTAATGCGCCCAGGAATCCAGCCAAGACCGAAAGCATGCCATATGAAACAGAAACCTTCAGGTTATGACAAGCAGAAGGCATTGGAATTAGGGATTCCCATTGAGATGGTTAAATCCAAGAGGGAGTCAAGAACTCCTAAGGTTTCAGAGGATGATCAACCTAAACCTAAGCGACAAAGGCGAGAAAAACACTCCTCTCGGGTTAAGGCAACGAAGACAGATGTTGTTCTACCTCTTCCATCTCCTCCGAAATCTCCTCAAGAGAAGAAAGATCCTACACTCCACATTCTCCACCACCAGAAACAATCTTTGTAAAAGATTCATCCAAAGAAGACAATCTGACTCTTCCAAGACTCGGCAAAAAGGGTCACTTTCGGTCTCCTGTCAAGCCAAAGTTTTCCCCGAAGAAATTTTCTACATCGAAAGTGGTAGACACGAGAGAAGCACCTCAACAGGGGGAAGAAGTCACGAAAGAAGCACATCCTCAGGGGGAAGCTCAACCGAAAGTTGTTCTTCCTGAAAGACTTTCTGATGATCAAGACCCAGAAACTGATCTCGTTCCTTCTCAAGTCCCTCATCCACAAGAACCTGCTGATGTAGAAATGGAGGCCAGTCGCTTAAGTCTTCCACAAGAACCTGGTTCGCCAGAAAAGACGAAAGAAACTTCTGATGCATTGTTTCATTTGCCATCTCTGCCACAAGAACCTACCAATGCAGAGCTGGTTATTCTAACACAAGAACCTGCGTTGGTAGACGAGACAGCTGTTGTGCCAGTAGCAATTCCGGATATCCCGAATCTATCAGCACCTGTTCCTGAAATAATCCTTCCTCAACCTTCACCAGATAAATTGCTCAGAGAATCCATTGAAAGAGACTACCAACGAGTTTTGCAGTGGCAAAAGTGGCGCACTGCTCCCTTAAGCACGTTCATTGAAACCTTTGATGCTATGCAAGACGAAGAAGTCTTTGCACTGAAATGGATCGGCACAGATGACGTTTACAAAGCCCTTCGTCTTGAAGAGATTAGACGAGTGTTCTCTTACAAGATGACCAATCGCACTCTCGGGAAAGACAAAGCCCCAATCTGCATTGAACTTAACAAACCACCATTGGATCCAGCTTTGGAAGAAGAAATGAAGCAACTTCGTTATGCCATGCTGCTGTCAAAAATCAAAACCACATTAGAAAAGGAACACCAGAATGATCCGAACTGCAATGTTAGTGGCACGAAGGATGAGCATGGGCAAGAAATTGAAGAAGAAGAAGAAAGTGATATAAATGAAGATGAAGATGATAATGATTATGATGTTGACGATGCAGATGACGAACATGATGACAATGATGATGATGATGACAACGATGGTAATTTGGGTAATGCAGGTGTCCAAGGAGCTGATCCCGAA